CCGATTAATCGAATATTTAATTAAAGGGCAGCGATTACTAATGAAGCTCTGTTTTATTTTGATATTCATTATTGACAGGCGTAAGAGAACTGAGAGCCTCTGAAACCCTTCACCTGAATCCAACCCCCGCTTCTGTCTCTTTCAGAATCCTGTGGTCATGCCCCTGGGTGGTATCCCCTTCCTTGCCCAGCCCTCTGCCCTGTCCACTACCGAGCCTGCCGCCGACCCTGCCACCGAGTCTGCCCAGGCCCCCGTGGTTGCACAATGTTTTAAATATATTTATTCAATCTAAATAAATTATGAACTGTCAAACGTTATGAACAATTCATTTGCATGCTTTAATGATTTTTAATGTGCCCAAATATGGTCAAATTGCCGCATTTATTAGATTTTAGTATAAGAAAGAAAACGGTGCTTCAGGAAAAAGGGAAGGATACTTGCTTGGTTCTCTGCACTGTTTTTGTGACACTGGTTTGAACACTGGCTGAAAAATAGCATCTAATAATGTCATAGACAATAGATGCAAAAATTTGCCAGTGTATTAAACTGGATGCCAATATTGGAATAGCCGATATTTAAGCCAATGTTGGAAGAGCCAGTGTGTAAAGCGTTGGATGCCAATGTTGGTTCAGCCAACGGTGAAACTTCTATGCCAATATTGGATAAAAAAGCAGAAACCACGTTGGTCCAACGTGGGCTAAAACGTTGGCAAACCAGTGGTCCAACATTGGCATCAATGTTGGACCACCATTGGATCGGGTAGCGTTTTCGAAAATGCCAACGTCCGACCAATATTGGAACCATTTTTTGCCAACATTGTGCCAACGGGGGTCCAACAATGGTGTGCTGCCTGGGATCATATTTGCAGAGCTAGTCTTTGGTTGTTGTAGTTCCATCAAAATATATTTCAGCTTTTAAGTTATTTGTTATTTGGCATGTAAATTTACAAGCTTATCTAGATTGAAGACAGGAAATATCTTGCCAGCACTCATGGTACGCATTTGAGGTATATTGCGTTAACATAATTGACCCAACCTCTGATTTTTATTTGTCAGTGCCTCTAGGGAATTGTGCATGCTAGGATTGCTTTTGTTTGTTTGTTTCACATTATCTACAGCACATTTTTCACCTTTCTACTTAGTGCAGCCCTCGCGAACAGAAGCAAGCATCGCCTAGGCCAAGGTTCAGGTCTATGGCAGCCTGCAAAGGTTGTTGATGGTAAGCTGCCTTATAGATATAGCTGTGTAAGAGCAGCTTGTCCCGGGTGACAATTTGAAATGCATTTTTATGTTTTAGAAAGTGAATTTTGCATGGGCATGCTTCCAATGTGAAACCTTACCAAGCCTCTTCTAAACTTTCATCTTCTTGAGATTTCAATACAGCCGTTTGTGCTGCACACACACTGGCTACTTCGGCCAGGTAGAGACTTGATCCATATGAAGGTAGACAGGTGAGTATCAACTGCTCAGTGCTGTCCGTGGTGACGTTCTCTTCTTATCGCACGACTTACGCTAGGCATATGAAAAGGAGAGCAAGTCAGCTGCTGAATGATGTTCCCAGTACTAGGCAGTCAACGATTGATTGTTCACCTTCGTATAGATCACGACTGTACTTCAAGCTGGGCAAGTGTGACGCTTATCTGATTCATCCAGCAGTGGTGTGCTGAGTAGTATGTGTACAGCTAGTTGACTTGTGTACAGACCCGATTGGGAACTTTAATGCAATCTTGTGTATTCCCATTGATGTTATGATTATGATTACACAACGTTTTATGGCGCGAAGAGAAAAAAAACGCGATGTAATCGGTTTTCTAGACAGCCTGTGCGACCTTCAAGCTTGTATTTGTACGTTCTGCGTAGTGAAATGCCCTCTATAAGCGAAATTAGGAGACTCCTCGAGCTATATGCTGCAAGGAGGGAAAGCAGCGGTCCGGCCGCATTCTCCCCTCTTCTGGATACTGTGCAAATGCAGACGGACGCACGCTTTGGATGCTTTAAATTTAAAGACCCCACATAAAGCACCCGGCTTAATAAGCATCAATTATTGTGAAGTGTTCCCGGATTTGCTTTTAAATGTCATGCGCATAGGAACCACAATGGTGGTTTAATGTACACCAAAATTGTAATGGTGTACTTTAAGGTTATACGGGGTATGTTCAGCGAAATGTGGGCCAAATCGTTTGTGCCAAGACTATACATCGCACATAAAAAAAAAAGTCTTGTGTTGTTTTGGTCCTGGGCCAGGGGCCTATTTAGAAAAATTATTACAAAACAATGCTGCTAATAATGTGTATGTGTGCTGATTATTATGTTTTTTTGTTCCAATTACAGCACACACGGAGGGTATATCCAAGGAGACGGGGTGGGATTATGTAGAGAAGCTAATGATTCTTTCTATGGGTATGAAGCTGCCCGAAGTAAGGCCAGAATGGAAAAAGCAACACCAAGCTCTGCCTGGTTCTGAGCAGACACAATAATGAACACAAAATTCACTAGAATCGTAATATGAAAAACTTATGCAGGCAGCCAAACTTTTTGAGTTTGCAACGGTCTGATTATGATCCTGCATTTGTCTCAAGTTCGCCTAGTATACACACCGTATTGGTGATCTTTAGCGCAGCAGGAATATTGTTTATCAGAATTAAACGTCATTGGTAATTGAACAAATGTGGCTGTCTGTGTAAGTCCTTCGTGTTTTTATTCATTTTACTTGTGTGTTCATTTTTTATTCATTTTTTCTTTTTATGAAGTTTTAGTTAAAGATATGATGCCCTCGTCATTTTCTAGTCCGGGAAACAGGGGTGAACTCGTCGTGTTCATGGAGCAGTTATGACATTTTCATCTTGTATTGCCTCCAGCGAACAATGGTGTCTGTGTGTGTGCGTGTGTGTGTGTGCGACGTGTTGGGTCGCAAGGCATGATTTGGGGACCGAACGGAAAAACAAGGCCAGCGAGGAGCGACTAGGGGACTTTGAACATCGCACGGTGCAAGGAAGGACTTCAACGACGAGGCAAGCGAGCAAGCACATATGAAAACTGCTGTGCTCGACCAGAGTTGAATCACTACTGTGACTCTGTGAGTAAGAATCAACGACTTTGGAACTTCCGTATAGTTTACAGCTTAATTGTTGCCTTCCGTTTGTTTTATTTTAATAGGTGTCTGTGTGCTATTACATTTTTAGTTTATTTTAATGGTTTTCCGTGTGATATTACACTTTTCTTCCTTATAATTTTTTCTTGAACAGGGAAGTGCCTGTTTGGATTTTTCACGCTTTCATGTATGAAACTTCTTTTGCAAGCCATACTCTCGGTCTGCTCTCTCGACAACCAATCCCGCCAAAAGCTGTGACTTTCCGACGTCGAATTATATATTACAATGTTTTCTAACTAGCGATCGCCTACATTCTATCTTTGTAGCATACATATTTGTCGGAATGAAAAATTCCGAACCAGGCCAATAAAGATTGGTCTGATTCTGTAGATATATCTACGTGAACACTCGTTTGGTACAGTGTGAGATAGCCGTATGATGTATATTCTGTGGATACTCATAGAAATGCATTATATGATCCCATGTCTGGACCTGGAAAGTATGGTACCTGTCCCATGGCAATAATTTTCATGTGATGCCAGAAGGAGCATCACATGAAAATTAACCATTTCGTCGTTTACCCTGAGACTGGGGGGCTTTTTGAAGAACATGAAAATTGCTTTAAATGGGGTGGGTACCCTATATGCCAGACCCAAACATGGGATCATATAAAACAGTCTATATATGGTATATAAGGAATTGGGCAGATATGGGTATATAACGAATTGGGCAGATATGGGTATATAAGGAAATGGGCAGATATGGCTATATCCATCCAGATATGGCCTGATCGTGCATATCTGGCCATATCTGCCCAATTCTGTCCCTTACAGAAATGACATTTCTGTAAGGGACAGTACGTCGAGTTGAAGTTTAGGGGTGTATTATATGCGACAAAAGGTGTTACAATACACTCCTTTAAACCCTTTTTCTTAGAGTGTATATTATCTAACAACGATTGACCTTGGAACTCTGCAGAAATCCAAGCCCGGAAAATGGGATATCCTATATCCGACATATCTCCTGGGCGCCACAAAAGGCCAACGACTGCTCAAGCAAATGAACCAAGTAAAACTTGCCGCCGACGGTGGACTGCAGTAGCACGCGACTGTCCGCGCCGAGTCATATCTCGTACAGTATGCTTAGTCCACAGAATACACTCGCAGGCGAGTTATACTTTGTCGAGCATAGTTAGTCCGCGGGGAACCGTCGGTGGTGAGTCGAACTTAGTCCATCATACTCAGCTCGCAGGCGACCGTGGGCGGCGAGTTATACTTAGGCCACTATAAGTATACTAAAATCCGATCACAGCATACGTACGTTACAATCCGATGCAGCCAACCAAGCAGTGCAGAGAGTCCATCATCATGGCGCTAGTTACCCTTGCGGAATTGCCATCAGCGGCTGAACCAATCACGCAAGAAAAAATACGCAGGATCACGGCGCCTTCACTCTGCGTGATTGGCTCAGCGACACATAGCAGACGTTCAAACACAACAAACACCGTGACAGTGCATTATCGCATTCGGCGCAAGAAAGCTAAAATGTGCGAATCAGGCGTAAGATTTTCACTTGCTCACTTTGACTCTATACACAGTGCTACGCTGCTAGTGCAAACTAACGACTGCCAGCTTTTTGTTCTCTTTTGCAATATGAAGGCTGTTTTAAAACCTAAGTGCTATAACTTGGTGCCCGTTAATACTACTTCTAATTTTTTTAAACACCATTTTCGTGTTTGAAGTAGCAGTGTGGCGCAGTGCACCTCCTGTAGCTCAATACATGAGATGGGTGATATCTTCCCGCATGCATATATTTATGGTGAAGATGACTATAGTTTCAACGCCAAACACTACAGACAGAAAATGTAGTTTGCACTTTAATATTAAAGTAATCATTTATTTGTAAGAATTGCATTGCTCGGGTGTCCTCTTCATATGTTATGCAAGACAATCCAAGGTCCCCTTCCAGGAATTGACACCATGGAGCACTGTTCCAAGGGCATGTCTTCCTGAATATAAAACAAGCACTCAGAGGGCGAAGGTAAAGAAAAAACTTCATTTCGAAACGCTATCGTGAGGAAATACGCTCATAGTTACTATCCTTTATATGCTTCCCCTAGTTGCAAGAGTGCATGGCAAAGTGCAATAAAACACGCCTGGCAGTATTTATGCTTCAGTTGTAATACGACCACGCTTGTTATATTATTTGTAATAATTACGTTACACGTGAAAAGATCAGTATATTATTTTGTCAGAAGGCATGGGAGCTTGCTCCTCTAGGCCTTTAAGAAAAAGTAAGAAGTATAACACTGGTTGTCTGGTTTGTCTGGGAGCTGTGGGCGCATCTAGCTATGCAGTAGTAACAAGCTCTAAGGTTTCCCTAAACTTGCTGAGTATTCTTCCGTTTGTTGCTTCCTTAACCCAAGGGTGACATCAGCCTTGGGCACGAGTATCTACCATTCCTTTTCGTTTCAAATGAAAGTGAAAGTAACAAAACAATATCATCCGTGCGACACTCCTCTGCTTTTGACCGCTCGAAGAACACTGCCTCCAGCGAAAGCAAGAACTCCCCCCCCCCCTCTTTCCCACACACACAGATACCCCATTTCTTTGAAAACAATTTTTAGGTGCCTGGTGTTTAGCCATTGCAGCCATTTGAACTAACGCTCATGTCATAACTAAAAAAAGGCGTACCTTTTGTGATTGGCCCAGTTCCCAACGATAAGACTGCGTCATCCTTGCAATGGTGTAGGTGATTTCGACCAGGGCAAGCATGGAACCGATACAATTGCGGGGTCCTAATCCAAAAGGCTGGAATGCAGCTTTTGGAAAGCATTTGTCGTTTTCGACGCTGAACCTGCAGGAAAAACTAGAAGTTTTTCTCCTGCGATCAAATGTAGCTGTAAATTGAAGCAGTAATCAAAATTATCTTAGTTATTTCAAGCGACATAATGTAAATAAGTTCAATATATGAAGCAATTGAATAGTGGCATCATTACAGTTACTGAAATATTGCGCTTCAGCAATATTTTAGTACGTCCAATTGAGATTACATGCTTCGAACTTAATATATCTCTAATTGTCAGATTACCTTCATCATCAGTAATTGCCGTTTTTGCATTACTGCACTCAAAACCACTCTCGTAAAAACAGCTCAAAGGGTAATGAGAGAAAAGGAAGAGAGCGGACAGGACCAAGACAAGTTTCTTTTCTTATGTCCTTGTCTTTTTCCGCTTACCATCTCAGACAGTTTCTTTAATATTAATCTCAGAAATCTTTTTGCAGCGATTGTTCACTATTATTACCATACAGCGGCGGGCACGAGATGCCTTGCCTTGCTAAAGAAGAAGTGACACGGGGGTGAGCGTGACTAAAGTCACTGGTTCCTGGAAAACTAGCGCCAAGCACCCGGTATGGTTGCAATCTTGGTCCGTGAAATTTGTAATTTCTGCTTGACTTGGTGAGCCGATCTAAATTCGCTGGTGACGGGTAGTTTTATGGGGATGTTTCTTGTATACCGAAATTTTGCTATACATAAATCGGCGAAACAAGCGTGCATTTTCGTACCACCATCACATGCTGTGTCGGTGATTGGAGGCACTGAAAATTAATTTTACTGTTTCGAAACACGCAAGGAGAACAGTATAATTGTAAGAGATCCATGGCGATGGGCATGGTTCATAAGTTGATTGCATGCACAGTACCAAATACGCTTATATTGGCGAGGAATACTTCCAGTACGATGATGCTCCATGGGGACCTTGGCGCGACTGGTTTAAAACGACTCTCTGAAAGCTTCGAAAATTTTAATGGACCGAGATGGCGATTTCTATGGCAACGTAGACAGATTAGCCAATCGCCTAGCGGGGTTTTGGTCGTCTGTACGTTAGTATTTTTTCGTGTGCAGCTAGCAGGTAGAGAGGGTAATGACGCTACTTTCCCACGATTCAATAACTCGAAGCGCGTCCGTAGCGTATATGTCAGTTTGGAAGTTTCAGTAGAAACTTCCAAACTGACATATGTTTTGTTGAAGACGGTCATTTTCTTTTTTTGGTAAACAATTTTAACGTCGCCAACAAAGACGTGAGACTAGAGGAGTGTTTCCAATCACCATAACAGTTTCGCAAGGTTTTTAGTTTTCTTTTTTTTTTTTTTTTTTTTTATCGTAGAGGTTTGCTTTTGTCTGAAAGGACGCGGTTGTTGCAAGGTGGTTAGGAATTATATATATCGTTGTAAATATTTGCTTCGCAAAATGCGGAAGGGAATGTGGGGTTTCCAATTCTTCGTCAGATGGTCCTTGGCAAATCGACATTGGGAAGTTACGAGTAGATTACACTCCTTTCTGCTGCATAAATCAAAAAATCGGTCTGTCTAAACCGCAATATCCTTATCCGTTTGGCCTATCGAGCCAACAATATCCTCAGCCTAAAACATGGTTTTAAGGGTTGGAGCCCTTACGCACTCACGAGTTAACAACTTGTTCGCTTCTCAGAAAAGACAGCCAATCTGCAGCGTGATCCCCCTCCCCCCACCTCCACCTATCTGAGAGCTGCGCCTGCCGTCATTTCCCCATTGAAAATCTCAAAAAGTTACATAATTATAAATAAAATGAAGGCGAGTTCTGACATTTTCGCCTTTGGTTCCAAACGCTACTTTGGGGTGCAAAATAAAAGTTCGATACTGCTTAGCTACAAATCGTTATTTAAAACAAGCACTCAAAGAATGCTTGACTTGGCACTCGTTGAGTCTTTGGCTTATAGGTTGTGTCATTTGCGAGCAAAATGAGAGGTCGTCGCTATGGACACACTATTACCATCAATATATTTTTACCTGTCCGGATCAAATTTCATAGGATCGGAGAAATATCTTGCGTCCCTTTGGATCTGCAGAGTGGGTGACAGGATGCTAGTGCCGGCCTTGAACGTGATGCCCCGGTACTCAAAATCTGCCTTGGCCTGCCTTGTGATAAATCTAGAGAATAGTGTTTGGAAAGAAGGTGGCCATATTATTGAACTTCGCCGCAAATGCTAGAGACTTTAAACTTCGGGAACACCTGGAGTATTTCTGAATAAAAACTTGATTACTAAGGTGACAATTCGACTACTGGCAGCATAATGTATACGCTTATAATTTAAAATGTATACGTGTTTTTGCGAGTTTAATCCAATGCTGAAGAAAACAAAATGATGCATATACGCTCACGTGAATACCGGTGGCCATATCCGCAGCGTCTCGTTCACCACCTGACCAAGGTACTTCAGCTTTTGAGTCACTGCCTCATAATCTAACTCTCCCTAAATGGATAAAAAGGAAAGTGCGTTATTAACCAATGGTTAACAATTCACGCAAGACCATCACAGATTTCCCTTCCCGACTTCTAAGGTATAACCGTACCAACCCTATTTATTCTTCAACTTTATAAAAAAAAACATTTGAGACTCACGTGAGCGCCAAGGTTAGTCAACCGAGAGGTTGTTTAATTTCCCTTTAAATCGCCACACACACACAAAAAAAAGCAAATTTATACTTTACAATTTGAGTTCAGTACCTTCAAATGTGCATCCCAAATTAAATATTTGGACGTGAGCATTTGAAGAAATATTACTGGTTGGGGGAAAAAACTAGACGGGGGTACGTCCAACCAGGTCCTGCTTAAGAACCCAGTGTTTCGAGGTCTACTCGGCCACTTCTTTTCCACAGGGTTGACTGGGTATAGTTATACCCCCATTTTCCCTGAACAAAAAGCCGAGAAGACATCGAGACGTTCGGTCAATAATAAGACATAGTAGGCAGTTCCTCTTTTTCAGATAAATTTTATATTGTGATTTTGTAAATAACGATAAAAGAGTAGCGGCTACCGCAACAAAAAAAAAAACCGACATTTTTTTTTTAGGGAATCGGGAGTTGTATTGTTTGTTTTTTTTCTTTTTTTTTTGTTATAGAAACTACCTAATCGGGTTTGTGGGTATGGCATGAATAAATACCGCTGAATATTCAAGAGTTGGATGACAGCTTGCGCCACTTGGAAAGTGTTTAACTTCTAACGTTCAAGTGCCCTTCAACCAAGAGCCCGCCATGAACATAAGGTTGATTTTGAGAAATACTAGGACCACTACATTGACTTCTTGTGAAAATTTAATGTGTACACAGCTCGTGTAATGTTGTAATCTAAAATCACCTGAAAAAAGTCTTGAAACAACTTACGGAACCATCCAAGGCCTGCTCCACTTCTTTTCTAACTTTCTCTTGGATATCCGGGTACTTCCCGAGTGAGTAGGCAACGTAGGATAGTGCAGTCGCAGTCGTTTCAAACCTAGCAGTAAACAAACTATATATTTTTATTATTTGTATATGACCATGTTGAGAAGATTGATCAGCTGAAGTATTAAATCCCTTAACAAATTTATGGGAGTCATAAACAGCAAATATAATAAGGCCACTGTTGGTAAACTCTTAAATATTATAGGTGAACCGTGCGCTTAAATCACGTAAACGTTTATGAAGAAACAACTTTTGATAGTAACGCTTTTGCAATTGTATCTAAGTGCGTGCCTTATGGAGAAAACTGAATTTATCTCGTTAAAATTGAGGAGCGCCATAAATTTTCTTTTTTGACGAAGCATACTGCCGTTCATTTCAGGGCGAATTCAATTTCCTACTAAAGGTGTGCGCTCAAGTTCTACCCTACATAGTCCGCATCCCTGTTAACATTTTACAGCGATTACTGCTATCTGCTCCCTCCCCCCCTCCCCCCCGCCCCCTCGAAATGATATAAGCTTAGCTTACGGCGTTGCAGACGTCCGTCAATTGTCACCTGACAAAGTCACGTAACAAATTCACGAAATGTCACAATGTTACGTAGCGTCAAGATTCCACTTTATGTCATAATGGCAAATGGCATCACAATGTTCAAACTAAAGTTGGACGCTCCGTTGTTCCTGTCAGAGTGAACTTCTTAATTAAAACTAGCTATATTAAACTTACTTTGGTTTTTAATGATAAAATTAAATTACATTATTTTCCCAAGCACAACCTTGAACGGTTTCACATCTGCGGATTAAAAGCATAAACACATTGACCAAAACAAATTACGCAGTCATAGGAGAACTTACCCTGCGAGGAACAAAACAGTGGTGTTCATGATAACTTCTATTGAACTAAGCGGCCTGGTCTTGCGATGGCCTGCGAAGAAAATTAGTTTGAGTTTCCGGTTTTTGCGATGACGTAAACCGGCCTCAATTCTTACATATACTTTAAACATATATGCCTCATGTACCCGGTAAACATTGCTAGTTTGTTTTATGAGCTGTAAATTAAAAAACACGTTCACTTCACAATTACCGGAAGGTGCTAGGCCTTGTAAATAATCCAATGAACAAACCATTAGCTCAATAAAAAGTGAAAATATATTTTTTTAGATTCTCGGCCAGCGAGAAGAATGCGCAATCAACAGCAGTCGTAAAGATTCAAAATTACACCCAGGTGAATGAATGCATGAATACAACCGAGCCCATTGAATTGGGGGGTGGCTTCCGCCACGTATAAGTGTGGTCGTGTTTCCTCCACCCTGTCTCAGGTGGTCTAAAAAATGGTATAAGTGTCTATCATTTGAACTGCGTTAATACACCTTTGAAATAAAATTGAGGTTCATCTTTCAGTGGTACGTGTCTGAAGAAATGTCGGCAAGTGCAACGAAAAAGCATCATTCATCACCGGGTGCAGGCACCTTCCGATTTACGTCTTTCCGCAAAGGGTATGTCACAATGCCAATTCTTCCCTTGCCTTAGGCCATCAGTAAGCAGACTTTTTATAAGCCGAACCTTTTTTTATACGATTTTACTCTCAGCTTTTTTTTAACCATGGCATTTTAGCAATACACTGCCGCCTCTTTCTACTGCAGGTTAAAGTTCTCTACAGTTGAGAGTCAAACGTTCAGTAGAGAGCCTATAGTTAGGAGACCAGCGGCTCAAACTATGAAAAGCATATTCAATTTAACGGCAGACACCTCCTTCGAAGATTTGCACGCGTAGCGTCGTTGCGGAGCAAGCAGAATAGTGAGCAGAGGAGCTGAGGAAAACTTGGAAGCGCTTACACACGCTTCGCAGACGATCAGTACTTTTGCTTCCTCGTCAAAGCTTGTAGTACAAACGCAGCCCATAAACTACCTGACCCCGATCGCGTAGTGGGATATAATTTCAATGCTAGGCACACTTTGCACGTGCTCCACATGCCGTGCCAATCCGCTGACATTTAACTGTGCCCGTTTAGTCTGCAGCACTTCCGTTCGCACTTCGAATAACGAAGGACAGTCCTTAATATTCTCCTTATAAAATGTCCTGTTTAAGCATACTGTACGCTTACAAGAGTGATCTTTTCTGCATAGCAGCTTCATTGTTTGTATTTTATGATCAACCTTTCTGGTATAGCCAAATATTTGTTTTCTAGTTCACCAGGCACATCTTCTGTCGAAATTCCTCATCTACGAATTGCTGAAACCTCTTAGTTTCCACTATCTATCATCAATTTTTCTCAATCGATCATGAAATATTCTTCTACTCTTAGCTTCCCTTATATATCAAGGCAACTATTCCATGCCATCTTAAAGAACACAGTTTCAAGACCACTTGCATCTGACTACAGAATGATAGCTTTCTTCTAACGCTCATCTCGTCGATCTGCGCTCCGGCTCACAGCTGGCGCCATCTAGGAGCCTCAGAGGAAAATGATCGTTGTACACAAAGTACGTCTTCCTAAAAAAATGACTCGGAAACTTCACTATACCTTGAGTCTCCACTATCGGTGTCCCTTCGGTAATGCTCTTCGGGGTCTCCTGCAATTCCTCATATTCTGCGTCAATAAGGTTTTGAAGTATGTCGTTCCTTCGCAGCTGTCAAAAATACACGACGTAAAATCCACGTTTACACGCCAGTCATTTCTTTTGTTACCAATTATCATGCAGTTGTAACGTATTCTAACAGCTTTCAACGATTGCAGTTTGTTTTACAAAACTGGACCTTCAACATTTGGTTATTTTAGAATTTCTCAGACACATCCGATAGACGCTTAGAAAGCACTGAGTTATATGCCTGGTAGAAATATCAAACGGGAAGTTGACGCACTGTAGAGTCATTTTTCCGAAGACGGATGACCTTCGCCACGTGCTCGGCGAACGTTCGAATTGGATACCTTCCGAAAATCCAGCTGATCCACAATAGCGGAGTCGCCAACTTTCCAAGCGCAGTCGTACAGTCTGAAATTGAAAGGAGATGCAAGAGTCAAGCTATTTTCGACGAAACAAGCAATGCCTAGTGGAAACAAGCCAAAATGTCCAAACATATCTGATATAATTCCACTAAAAGATTAAAGGTACTTTTAATCTCTTATCTATTATGCCATCTCCTGACAATGTCGAGCTTCTCGGCGAAGCTGTCGTAATACATACAATAAACTCCCAGCATAGCAACTCCGAAACTGCAGATATTTGACTTATTACATCTTCCCGGTCCATTGTTCTCGAACTGCTCTGCCTCACCTATATATATATATACACATACAGGGTGTTTCACGAAAGGTGGACAAATTCAATTTTGCGAAAACTACCCGTCGCAACAAAAAAAAGGCTTATGTCTTTTTGGTCCTGGGCCAGGGGCCTATTTAGAAAAATTATTAAAGTCCGGGATAATTAAATTGTTAATTATTTTTGCGTAATTAACTTTTCTAATATTGTGTTTAAGGGCTAGGTTTCAATTAGAGACTCGCTGAGCATCATTCAAAAACACTAAATCAATAAATTGCAGAACGATAGAAGGCACGCGCGGCATTTTAAGGCTTTCTAAAAAACCGCACAAACTCGACGGGTTTTTGAGTTTCGGTTTGCAATCGGAGCGCTTCTCGGCTCCAACGGCACCACGTCCAGTGGAGAAATAGTGCAACCAGCCTTTGCTGCGTTACGCGATGACAGCGCAGCAGAGGTCGGTTGTACTATTTCTCTACGAGGCGCGGTGCCTTCGTGGTCGAGAAGCGCTCCAATTGCCAACCGAAACTTAAAAACCCGTCCAATTTAAAACTCGATAAGCTCGAGGTAAGGTCTGAGCTTCCCAGACTACTGCAAGACACTCCCACTCTTGGACGGTGTACCTCGCTCAGATTCGATAAGCACACTGCTGATGGACACCGTTTGCAGTTAGTCGGGGCCTTCGTGTACAAACACTGCAGCTATGCCCACTCCCCTGGCATCTGTTTCGACGACGAAGGGCCTGTTCAGGCCCGCAGTGCATCCTTGAGCATGGTGAAGGCATGCTCCTGCTGGTGACTCCAAATCTACTTTCGGTCATTTCTAAAGAGAGCGGTGAGGAAGCGGGCAATAATGAAAAACGGTTTGATAAAGTTTTGGTATTAGCCAACCAATCCCAGAAAGGCTTGCAGCTGCTTGACTCTGGTGGGTCGGGGATAGTCGAGCATAGCCAACACGTTCCCTGTCGTCCGGCCTACATTTTCCAGGGCTTATTACATGCCCCAAACACTTGAGCGACTGCAGCACAACTGAATCTTGTCCTGGTTCATGGTGAGTCCCGCTGATCTGATGCACTCCAGGACTTCTCGGACATGTGCGACATGTCTGTCTAGCGTCTTTGAATACACAAGGACATCGGCCATAAATGTCACAGCAAATTTCTGGTTGATTCCATTCAGGACTCTGTCCATCAGTGTTTGAAAGGAGGTTGGACCATCTGCAACACCTAACGGCATCCTTGTAAACTCGAAAGTGCACTGGTGGCATATTAAAGCCGTCTTCAAAATGTCGTCCTCGCGCAAAGGAATTTGGAAAAAGACCCTACAAAAGATCAAAGCTTGAGAACCACTCCACTCTCCCGAGTTGCGCCAGCAGCCAGTTCGTTCGGGGCATCAGATACACAGGCACCCTGGTGCGTGCGTTGAGCGGTCGGTAGTCTATGGCTAGACGAAAGACTCCAGCGTTTGTGTCCTCCAGACAGGCGCACTGGTCCACTGACTAGTGCTTTGACGCACTATTCTCTGTTCCCGCAAGTCTTGAAGGCAACCGTCAATGATCCCTTGTTTCTTGTAATTGACGGGGCGCAACTTGTAACGAACGGGTGGACTGTCTCCTTTGTCAATTTGGCGTTCGGCAAAGAGAAGTGCAGCCGGAAGTTTTAGTGAAGATTGGCCCAAAGATCCCCAACAACATTTTTATATGCGCATACGCTTCCAACATGTCGGCAAAATTTCCATCGCCTTCGGTAGCACTACGGATGGATATTAACGACGCAGGTTGGCTTCTCTTTGGAGTGGTTTTCCAGGGACTACGAATGTTCTTCTGTCCCAAGCTCGCTGCTTGCTTGCTTTATGGCCTTCACAAATGGCACAATGTGCTGGAGCTCTGTTCCGATTGTCCATCCCCCATGGGCCACATGCAAGGAGATATCTGTAACTGTAAGGAAATCAGGGCTCTGTCGGAGATGTTGACTGGGGCAGCATCTACCAGTGTCGGTTTCCCAGACACTGTGCTTGAAAACGGCCAGGTTCTTGGCACCTGAAGCAGAGACCTGGACCCATACGCCGACCCGTGGCACAGTTGCGAGCGGGGTGACCGACTCCTCCGAATCCCCGGCAGTGGGCGACTTCTTGTTGGCGCTGATGACACTGAGACATCGGCAGAACGGAATCTGCAACTTCTCCTGATATTCTGGGTCCTGAAAGGTGTTCCCTGTACTAGGCTGGTTCTATTGTCGCAGGGTAAAGTGGCCAGCGGTACGTTAACTGGCATAGTCACGGTTGCAGATAACACAGCGGCTGCTAAAGCCGGTGCGACTGTAGCGGGCATTGCAGCTTCCGTCCGGGGAAGTCGCATTACCTTCTGCCCGGAAGGCTAGGTCACGGGCCACCTGGTCACTTCTTGGGGGAGGGGGGGGGGGGCGGCTTGTACTAAAGACGCCGCCAGGAACGCTCCATCAGGACATCGACTGCCTCAGCAAGTTCACTCAAATATGCGTACTGCGTCCCTTCCGCCAAATCCTGGAGCTGGGGACGCATTTGGCGTAGCACGCGGTTGACGTTTCCGGAATCGGGCACCTCTTCCCCGATTCTCTCGTAAAATTCGGCGATCGTGCAAATGATTTTCTTGACGTTCTCCTCGGAGTCTTGAGGGCGGTGTCTCAACTCGTTCTTTATATGTCGCTTGGCGTCGATTGACGCCGCGGGGCACATGTGCCTTGCAGAGTCGTTACCCATATACTCGTCACAATATATATACCGGGTGTTCCATTTTAACCCGACACGACATGCAGCCGTAAAATCATCCCAACTGCCAAAGTCACCGATAAAACGCCACCATAATTTGTCGCTCCCTTCCAGTTCAGCGGGTACGACCTGGCTGAGACAGTTTTCGGTGACGGCTCCCGTAATCAAGCAAACTTTTTCTTGTTTCTCGATAAATTCTTCGGGCGACTGTCGATTATTGAAGCCTGTATACTTCGGCAACTGCGCCGTGATTCTTGGTAGAGGGCCGCCGACGGATGGACTGCAGCCGCGGTCACCTCGGGTCCATTGGCAGGGGGCACTGCAGCAGTCAGTGCCAGTTGGCGCACTTGAGCAAAAACTTGCTCCGATGCATCGCTGATTTGTCGGTCCTCTTAAAAGGTGGGCTATCAATTCATTCGGTGCTTGCAGGGTGTCCATCTTTGATCCCGAACGGACGACCACTTGTTAGGATGGAACCTTTACTCTGCGTTTCCAATCCAAGAACCTAACTGCACATTCATTTTGTCCGTCGTCGTCTTCGTACTCATCCCGTTTTCCTCCGCGGGGCACATGTGCCTTGCAGAGTCGTTACCCATATACACGTCACAATATATATACCGGGTGTTCCATTTTAACTCGAACAGATATATTACAAAACATTCGTAAACGACGCTCTAAGACGGTTCGTTCAGGTGAGTTATACGGCCAAGAGGACATTATGTGGGTGGATAATCTTTTCGATACGAAGAATAATAACCGAAACTTTCTTAATTAATTTTAATTAGTAGAAATAATCTAATGGTTTCAATTAGAAACATGCTGAGCATAATAGGAAACCACTATATCAGTCAAATTTAGAACGACTTGAAGCCCATGGGAAACTCGGGGGCGCACCAAAGTTACCATTCGTACTGCAGGCACAAAAGTAGCAGTGGCGGAACGCGATGATAATCTAATCATCCGCGTTTTGCGACTGGTAGATTTGGGCCTGCTGCAGGGGGTGGTAATTTTGGCTCGCCCCCGAGCTTCCCAAGAGCTTCAAGTCGTTCTAAAATTAACTGGTATAGTTGTTTTCGATTATGCTCAGCTTGTTTCTAATTGAAACCATATAATTCTTTTTTTTCTAATCAAAAAGTTCATAAAGGAAGTTTAGGTAATTATCCGACTTATCGCAAAGATTAGCCACCTATATGGTCCCCCTGGCCGTATACCTCAACTGTGGTCCCTTTGAACACCTGAACTCTTTAGATGAGCTGTCGCCTACCCATCCTTGAATATGCCTCATAAGCGTCAAATCATTTTGTTTTGCTATTTGCCTATATCCGTCTGAAAAAGTGCAAAACGGAGCTAGATTTTTTTTCGGTGATGTATAATTATATAATGGGAGCACTAAAGAAGCGAGCAACTCAAAGGACGAATAACGTTTGCAATTTATTTGCGTAAGCGTCCTGCGTAATATGGATGCCTCTACGAACGCTTGCATTGTCGGGAAGGAGGGGGGGGGGAGGGGAAAGGTGAGAAGCAGGGGTGGAAAGACGGAGCACTGCAGAGACATGTGCAGATCATCGACTCTTTCGACTCCTCCTCGCACTGTGCATTCCAAACGTAGCGCATAAACCACTTGATACCAATCTATAAGCTGGGAACACTGTTAAGTCTAGGCACAATAGCGGATAGTAAACACTCATCGGTGGCAGCCTGTGAGTGCGCACACAAACGCAAATCTCTGAACCAGCCTTTACGAGCATGACGTCAACATGGGTCAACGGACGCGGATAAAATTCCGTACAGGCCAGTAAAGCTTACTCGATGCTTCTTACTTACCTTCTAGATTGATTCAACTCGGGCAGAGAAGCACTAGTCAATGAACAAATTGGTCTTTTTCACGATTTTTGAATTCTCTATTTGTCTGAAACGTAATACGACGCCCGATCAAAAGGCAATGTCTATTTTATTTTATGCACAACACATGGTGAGCGAATCACGAGGTGATTGGCGGCAACTGGGAAGCAATGACACAAACACTTACGCGCGAGCATGTGGAATGGGCCAGACATAACGCCCTTCACAGCCTCCCTGGCACAGATGAGGAAGGGATGCTTCAGATCGCGCTGGAAGCTGGTGTCGATTCCGAATGCTGCTCGACCTATGTAATCCATCGTCAGCCCTTGGAACTTTTCGACCATGCAAACCTCCTTCCCGCTGTCAGCATCATCGGCCAGGACGTCCATGAATACGTCGCAAACTTCTGCGATGTGGCCCATCATCTTGAGTCATGGATCAGGACAACAATACCCCATTTAACGATGAACTTTGTGCATTGTTAAAAAGTCAAATTTTCGCCAATATAAAATGTCTACTGCATATTACCAAGACTACGGCCGGTGAGCGCTGCTCGCGGTTTGTGCGATTCCATGTCGCTCCGAGGAATGAAAAGGCGCTTCATCAGCGCGAGCCGATTCAGGGTGGCCGCGTTATCGAGTTGTGCTGCGCTCGCATCGATACAGAGCTGTCTATTACGGGTGCCGCTCCCGCCAGCCACCGCCTCAGTCACAAGCTCAGGGTGAGTCTTTCATTTACGGCGCGAAGGTTTGCCTGCTCTTTGGGTACCTGGTGTGCGCCACATGGTGTTTCGTTCTTTAGTTTCTCCCCAACCTGAACCAAAGACAGCGCGCGCTTGCCGGCTACGTCATCGTGAGTTCCCCGTGCGTTCCCTATGGTGACATTTGATTGACGTGCCTTTCCAGCCAAAAACGCGTTTTTCAAAGCTTGCTTGGCGTATTCGGAGGAGCTCTACGCCCGCGGATCACAAATTTCTATTACAGGGAGCTGTGTGGCACATAGCTGCTCTTCGAGCGTGGCCAAATGAAGCCACCGGAAGTTCGATGCTTGTTCCGGAAGTCGGGCGTCTGCTGTGCTACCTAGCGCATCCAATCGATGAATTCGTTGATGCTTCTTTGAGTCTCTGAACGGGTTTTAATACTTTCTTTTTAAATTAAATCCTTAAATAAGGCATTTGAAGACGGGAGATATGCACACCTGACGAACTAGTGTCTAAAACGGCTTCCCAAATGACTTGTGGGTTCTGCGAACGCTGTTGCTGAGAAACAAGCAGGCTCCCTTGAGATGACAAGACACAATCCAGACCCCTGGAAGCCATTTGAACAAGCATTAAGAAAAGTTGAAAAGCTTGTTAATTAAGCGCTCTCTTCTGGGACAAGCCGATTACTTCCGATAGCCTCTTACTTGTTTTCTGAATTCGTCATCCAGCCCCCTAGTGGAGATCAGAAGTCAGATTCACAAAACAATTTTACGCCAAAAATGTGCGCACGACAAAACCCCCCAATAAAGTCGTATTCACGGAACGGAATTATCGTAAGATTTTCTCAACTTAGAATCGAATCGTACGACAGCTCCAGATGTGTCTTATGCCCTTTGATACTACCAAATCAAGATGGCGGACAGCGTCACTCAGTTACTTTGTTGTGATTCCCAATAGACATATATTTTTCTCCGTTTTCCTCTCGCGCGCCCCGACTTCAAGCGTTAAGGAAAGAAAAAGTGCTTAAAATTGACGACGGCGGAGATGAACGCCGGATCCACGGGCCCTCGGAAAAATCTGCAACGGCAACGATCCCATCGACCAAGCAGCCACCAAGAGCTAGCTCGGCATAATGTAGGCCTGGCGAGGCACTCCGACCCAGTCCGTCGCAGCGTCGCTCCGATTGTCCCTGGCCAAGACCGTCTGCCCACTACTGGTTTACTTTCTCAATAGAATATGCCCACGCCAGTCTTGTGGATCTCTTCCGTACAAATAGTTAGATCGCTGACCTCAATTTTTGGATTATGATGCCAGTCTCTTCCCTTTGTCATCCCCTTGTTTTCCGAGGCAGCAACGACGAATGCTGTCGTCGAAAAGGGTACTTCCATTCACCAATTCTATATCCTTGTTTTGTGGGATATTGAGCCCAGATAAACGGCGTATGGATTGCCTCCGCAACATATGGTATGTAGACTTTATTATTCGTATGTCCTTTTTGGAACGCTATCGCCTAGAGCTCATGCGAGCTGCACACAATGCCGGTCCCACCTTCCTCTGTCGAATGTCACGCCATAATTTAGTTCCAATCATTAAAGATTGGTCTCGAAGTGCTTACTAAGACACTTTCCAATAGCGCGAATTCAGCACTCCGACCAAACGCGCGCGTCTGCTCCGAGTGTGAACAGATGTTTACGTGGCTCGACACTCTCTTAGTTCAAACGTATCTTTTTAAAGGTCGGCTCGCTCCTGTATCTCCGAGGCCACGAAAAACGCAGCTGAAAAATTTTTTTCCCATGAATGCCGCTCCGCAAACAAGCGGTACGGCCGTCTCCTTTTAGCAACGGTGACAGTTGAGTTAACTTCGTTGTTGTGATCCAGTTCCTAGCAGTTGGCGAACAATGTTATACCAGCCTCGGCATTCGGGCCCGTTTAAATAGTGTTGGCGTCGACATTTCACTGCACGGACACGATTCCCAGAGAAGCGTTGGAGGAAAAATCGCCTGCGTTTGCTTTTATAAAAACTCCCCGTGCTTCGAACTATGCCGAGCTCTCCAATTGGCTGTTCGTGTTGCCGAAGACGCTGTCGCCATAGCATTATCCCGCTGTCGCGGAGTCCGGAGCTTGCAAGACGCCGGAAGTTCTAGCTTTACCGCACGAGGACGTCGCTCTTCTTCTCTCACTTAAGAACGCGTTCGTGAATGCTGATTTATTTTCTTCTAACGATGTTTTGTAACCTACGAACTTCTTCCGTAAGTTGTCGTAGCCTAAAAAGCTCCTTGTGAATCTGGCCTTTGTCCCGTGGACCACATGAACTGAACCACCCGATTCGTACTTTTTCTCTGCGCAGTTCCCAAAAGATTTACATAGCTCAATTTGTCAAATAGTGCAAAGTATAGGACCTAAAATTTGCATTCCATTCCTAGTTCGGAAGACAGCTCTTTCAACAACCTGGCAGGCACTTCAAAGAATCATAAATAACTGTTTCAGCTGATAAAGTCCGCTGTAGTGGATACGGCCCCAAGCGTAGAATTTCTCTGGTTTAAAGTTTTAGGTACGTTGTTATTATGATATGCCTTTTAGAGCGCAGCTCTTAGGCGCCCGTTTCCGGCTTGAGCGGCGTCGGCGTCGCCCTCGGCGTCGCCGTCGCCGTCGGCGTAACCAAGGTCACCCCAAGGCCATGTGACCCCCAGGACACGTGACCCGCCAAGGTCACGTGACCCCTCTCAAGGTCACCCCAAGGTCACGTGACTCTCGAGGTCACGTGACCCCTCCCAAGGTCACCCCCAGGTCACGTGACCCCCCAGGTCACGTGACCCCCCAGGTCACGTGGCCCCCCCCTCCCCAAGGTCACGTGACCCCCCTCCCCCCGAGGTCACGTGACCCCCTCCCCCCAAGGTCAGGTGACCCCCCCGGAGCATATTAAAAAATGAGGGGAGGAGGAGGAGAAGGAGGAGGAAGAGGGGTCTACCCTCCCCTCAGTACCCTTCCCTCCTCCTCCTCAAGAGCTGCGCTCCAATTCGGCGTTACAGGGAGTTGTAAACGGCTTTCACTTTTTTTTTTATTCAATGAATGAACAACTAAAGACACTTTAATGTTCGGTTATTTACGCTACAAAATAGAACACTCAAAGGTATCCTAACGTGTGTAATATTCACCTGCTTGATCTTGGAGGTTGTAAAACCCGAGGAGACGCACTGACGCGTGCTTTTCCAATGGCTGTCCTTGGCGTGAACGAGACACTTGCTAAGGAAGGGATGCATTTCGTCCGATCTGATGGTCACCTGTGGGTCGTTGCGTAAAGCATTGCTGAGCACTAACAAGTGTATCAAACAAAACATAATCCGTTAAAACATATCTAAAATACCTAAAGATAGCGCATTCATCTTTCCTGAGCGTAAGCTTTAACACAAAAATGACCGCATCTCCACGTGGTGAATGATGTTGATTAGGGCGAAGCTCTGGTGGTGCTGATGACACTGATTTAGTTCATAGGTAGTGCTGATGTATACGCATTTGAGCATTTGACCGCAACGCCCTCTCGTCTATAAATGTTGAGCCAATGCATGCAAAGATTAACGCGATCATATGCGCATTTGACCGCAGCGCCCTCTCCTGTGTAGACGTTGAGCGGCTACATGAAACGTTTCATCCATGACAGAAACTCCAGCTCTTGAGTTACTACCACATCTCAGAGCCCCCTACTCCTCCCGCAGTCGTGGCCGAGTGGGCAAGGCGATGGAGTAGAAATCCATTGGGGTCTCCCCGCACAGGTTCAAATCCTGTCGACAGCGCAAACATTTGTTTTCTCTTTTAAGAAGACAGATGGGATGGCAATAGATGTGAGCAAAGACGCCGGACGGACAAGGCTAGGCCCTAAGGAGCTTTGCCCCTAATAAAGCCCACCCTTTGAAAAAGGTCCTACAGCAATGGCGTCCAAAGGTCGTATTCCTCCTGAGGCTAAAGTTATAAACATAAACGCAAATTCGCTGGTGAATAATGAAAGTAATGAACAAAACCCCCAGACCAGAGGGAACTATAGACGACACGACGCAGAAGTCGGAATTCAAAGACTTTTTTGACGTGTCCTCCCTCGTTCATCTCACTCTCGGAGTTTTAGCCTATTCGCTGAAATTTAGTCTGCTTCTTCGCCACTTCATAAGAGGGTATGCCACCTCCCGGCCAAAAAGAATTAACTTTAGAAATGGGAAGCTCGCCCTTTCAGACAGCGCAGCAAAACGTTTCCCTGCCTGGCGTCAAAAATGTAAAATAGGGGAACGGATATTAAATGCGCAACGTTGGAATCTCGAATAGCTTTGGCAGCTATACCAAACATTTTACGTGCCAGTAGATTGTCGCTCTTCTTGATTCGTCTTAACATAACACATTTACTGCCGTCTGGTAGTGCAACATTTTTAATGAACCGTTAAAAATAAATTTGAATATTTTATTGCTGGATGGTGACACACCTATAACTATAGAATAGCGCTTATCTTCCTAATACCACCCTTATAAAAACTACCCCTTGCATTCGTTTTGGAGTTTATCATCAGCAAATCAATGACATTGGAACAAACACTCACTCCACGGTTTGTGAAATTTGATGAACTCTTTACGAAGGCTTGCTGTAAAAAAGCTATGTCGTTTACCACTAGCATCGGCACATCCCCATTGTAAAATCTGAAAAAAAAACACGTCGTCAAATAGCTTGGATTTTGACACAACTGTAAAGGTATTCAAAATATGGCAATGACCAACAGAATTTTAGAAGGAGGCTTCTTTAAAAGTCTATGAGGGCAATATTTATTAAAACATCAGGTTAACGTGAGAGTGGGTGTCGTGTTTCTTAATCCGCTGACATTTAAGATTTTCTTTTAAGCTAATCTTGGAGTCACCAGACAACTCCCCAAGAGCACGACTTAAAACAAACAAGTGATTGGCGGAAAAAAAGCAGCCAATGACGGTTACTTTTGGTTAGTATATTAACACGAAATGTGTTTTATGGCAGCGATTCCTAAAGGAAGTTCTACGGAACGATAAAATCATTATTCACGGAATGTATATGGCTCTAATTTCAGGAGGCAAAGAGTCACTTAAATAAAAATAAATGATATGCATAATTAGTTACAACATTTCGAACGTGCCCCGACAAAATTCAAACACCTCATTATTTTAATCCCAAAACTATACGCGATAGAACCGATCGAAAAGAGGAGATAAGAGTTTGTTGAGAAATGTAAGAGCGCGAAACTCTGATTGGTAAGATAGTGGATGGACGCAAAGCCTTTCTGCACGCTCGTTGTTCGAACGTGTTCCGATGCCGAACACTGGCGTCAGGTGTTCGAACGCGACTTACTGCGCAACCAGCAGACGACGCTTTTGTTTGCTCTTAATGGAGGAATACGGCGGGTAGAGACTAAAGCAGCTAGCCTTTGCACCTACCCACTAAACCTTCAAATCAAAGCTCGGTGTTCTAACGTCACCTCGCTGTCTCATCTACTGCTCTCACTCAGTTTCCCCATGTACAACACTGGGAATACTTTCAAAGTGCTTCCCTCGTGCAAAAAACGAACGTCAATTTTTTTTTTTAAGTTATCAAATGAGCTTATTGAGGGCAAAGGCTCCTGTGATACAAACTAAACTGGAAATTGTTCGAGAAGCAGGCTACAGAAGGAATCAGTCAAGCAATGATAGCAGAACAAGACCCTCGAAAGTTGCGCTTACTTTGGTACGATGTGGGCTGAGAGCGTGTAGGTAACCTCGGGACCATATCGTATTACCATACCACGTGATTGGTCGGAACGGAAGAGATTCAAAAGATTGACACGAGAGCGGAAAATAGAACCCAGTCCACTTATACTGCATTCTTCCAAATTATCCGGAAGATCAAGGCAAATAACGAATTTAGATACATTCATATCAGAATATATATGTAATATCAAATAAACTTGCAGTTAACAACAGTGTAAAAATATCTACTATTTTTACTAAGGACAATCAACATCTGCTGGGCAGTATTGAATTCATAATTAATAAAGGGTATCGTCGATCATTCTTTGGGTAATTTTATCCAAAACGGTGCCATTATTGGCATATTACGCACACCGATCTTTAAATGAATCATGAAACACAGTCAGTGGGTGAGACTTACCCGAATACGTCACCATACTTCTTGCACCACTTCTCGAGAGCCCGAAAAAGTCCCTGTCCAGTTGAAGAAAAAGAGTAACTGACCACTTGAGCACATTTTCCATGCGCAAGAAATTTCAGTTACAAGCATAACTGTAATGTACCCTTGGTAAAATACAGGAAAAATGAAATATGAAGGCTTTTTTGTTCTGAAATGTTTTTAGATATCGGCAATGCAAGCGATAGGGCCAGTGTTGCCCAAGTGTTTATTGATATAAAGGCTTCATTACGCGTTATAAATTATATTGTTTGCAGATTACCACATCGCTCACCTAAGGAAACAGTACCCCATAAAAAGGGGGCTTCGGCATTACGCCATTGTCAATAAAGCCCCGAGGTGCCCCAAGTTGCCCCAAGTTAAAAACAGATTAAAGCTCTACAAGAACTGCGCGGTTTCCTCTCTCACGATGGGTGAAAAAATGCGGACTGGATATTTACATTTTCATGATATTCCCAAAGGTTTCCCCAAATCAGATTTGGTTCTGGTCCCGGAACACCCAGATCCTTGAAGTAGGAAAACGTCTTTCGTCTCCATCTGTGGAGTCGGTCAATAAAACCACGGGTTTTATCATGTCAATGGTAAATGAACTCCGGAAAACAACTTTCTTGTTGGTTAAAACGTTCATTATATCACGCATCTTTGTACCCTCATCTAAACTGATATTGGTGTATAACAGCAACAACGAGTCTTAACAGGCTAGTTGTCCTAAAATCAAATCGATCCTAGTCATAGACAACTTCCATTCTTAAGCTCACACCGCTCTTTTTTTTTCTATACACAAAGTCCTTAAAATTTAGCAGGTTGTAACTTGAAATTAGCCTCATTCATTTACACAGAAATTAAAAGCGGCGAATCTATAGAAAGATACCCAAAGAAAAAGATTACGGTAATTTGAGACATGAGACATACATGAAGGAAAACATTCGCACCAAATACGAACTCACAGAAGTTGAGAGTTAGGATTCCGAAATTTTTAAACAAGCTTTGAGACGTTTCAGATATTATAAATTTCTGTTCTTCGCAGATTTTTAAAAAAGAAGATAAAGAAGTACATTTTAATGTCGGAAGATTAAATATATAGGCCAATATTAATTCCTTCGAGACTCTAAGGGATTGACATTTCTTGCATCTATTTTTTAAGGCAAATCATCACACTTTATGTTTCATTTAGGCCTTATATAACTTTGTGAGAATATTTTCAACTTCAGTAAAAGAGTATATAATGTATTAAGGTGCATGATATATGAGTATATACATTTTAGCCTAAGTAGGATTCTAATATTCCTGCTGGGACTGCAGTAACGCTGTTAAGGGACTGGAGCCTCGTCAGGTTGCTTTGGCAACCTTTTGCTCGTTCCTTTTTGACATTTTTGGGTGTCATATGAACTTTAATATTTCATTCATTTCATAAGCCTACAACGACTTGTAAAGTTTGTACGCTGCGTGTACAATCGCGCATCTTTTTCAACTAGTTTTTTTCCCGAGTAGGTCTTGTCTACAAAAGTTCTTGTTTTACTCTTAGCGACTGATTCCGGTACTCTCTTCAAAGGAAAAGGGACGAAATTCCTACATTTTCTTTATTGTAAAGATGAGGATGAGACGTCGCATTCCTTCAATCGAAAATTTATTGTCTAGATAAGTACAGTCCTCCGGCAGGTTGTGTGGGAAAATAATTATTTTCGAGAATGTTAGCTGCCAGAAAAACATCCTGCATCTGCCGCTATTGTTTTCAAGCGAAAATGATATGTGATGTCCACAAACCCTGTTTAAGTAGCCAGTAGCCACTCGCCTCTGGTTGCTCGTCGTACACAAATATTTATGTTTTCAAATATTATGGAATCGCCACGACGACCCCACTGCGTGTCATTCGGGTTCTGCATGGACTTATAATCCAGTTTAAAACTGATTGCAGCTTTGTTCATTCGACGAAACGCAATGAAATTCGGTAACTTCATAGGAGAGTCGTGAGCGAAAACAATTAGGAAAGAAAATTGTCAAGGACGGCGTCGAGAAGGACGTACTCGAGGACGACGTCAAGAACGAAGTTAGGGCGATCTCTCGGATGACCTCTCGGACGACCTGTAGGACGACCTCAAGGACGACGTCGAGGACAACGCCCTAGAGGACGACGTTAAGAACGACATCTGCGACGGCCTCTAGGGCGACCTTGGGGACGACGTCGAGGACGGCACCAAGGACGTCAGGTAACGTCAGCTTCAGCTACCGGCGCTTACGAGCTTACACGACCGGAGCTTACACGACCGGGGCTTACACGACCGGAGCTTACGCGACCAGGGCTTATGCGACCGGGGTTTACGCGACCGGAGCTTACGCGACCGGAGCTAACGCGAGAGGGGCTTACGCGGTGGACGCTCAACAGCTTACGCGACAGGTACTTCAGCCAGGCGCGTTTGAGTCACGGGCACTTTGGCCAACGGCGCTTCAGCCACATACGCCTCAGCCACCATCGCTTCAGCCACCATCACTTCAGCCACGAACGCTTCAGCCACCATCGCTTCAGCCGTGGCGGTTTCGTAGCCTAGATTGCGCGACCCAGAGTGTGGTTGGGTCGATAAAGATAACGCTCTAAAAGTTTATTTTGGCTCTGTCTCCAGAGCACTGTGCTCAGAAACGTCAGAAGCCTGCCCGCGGTGCCAACTCCGTAAACGATTAACCTCATTCCCTGCGCGACTTCTACAACCGCTTACTTCGCCTAATTCAGCGTTTGAGGATGTAGGAATAGACCTCATCGGTCCCCTTCCAGCATCTACATCATCAAACCCCTAGATCATATTTGTCATTGATCACCTAACGCTTTACGTGGAGACTAACGGTGATTCCGAATGCGCAAGACCCACAAATTGCCAATAGCAGTACTTCACCAAGTACTGCTAGGGCAGGGCGCGCCACGGACACTCTTAAGTGATCGGGGCCGAGAAATGTTGTCTACGACGCTCCAATCACTTCTAGATGCTTGCAGCGTCACTCATCACCGAACCACGCCTTCGCATCCTCGAACGAACGGGCTGACAGGATAGTTCCACCACACACTTGGCGACATGTTAGCCATGTACTATCGCGGACAATATGAGCTGAAACGGATCTCCGGCCAGCGCGAGGTACTACCTGCGCCGCCTGTCGCCTTGTTCCGCACACATGGCGCACCCTGAGTCTCGAGATATTTTCTCACTTGCGCTCGCTGCGCCACTGCACTCTTCCGGCTGTAAGCAAGCGAGGCGGCGGGTGCGACAGCGGGCTTGTGTGGTATGGCGGAGGGGGGAACAAAAAATTACACTTGCCATTCCCCTTTTGGTATTGATTTACTTTACTCTATCGCGCAAAATCCCGTAGAAAAAACGCTGACTGGTGAAGAAAAATATTGAAGACGAGTACCGTTATTGAAAATCATCAAAATACGTTGCAGGTTGTTTCTGTTTGATATAGGTGCATGCACAAAGTGGGACATCGTAAAATATAGGCCAAAATGTGTATGCCGGATTTAGTCCGACTTCAATGTATCTTTTTTTTCTGTTTCAATGATCACAGATGTTCAAAAAACGGTAAGCATTAATCTTACTGAGAAGGTTTTGTAACCTTAATTAGTACGAAAAGGTTCAAAAATATTATTTCTTTATTACTGGGCCCACGTGTTTGTTTCAAGCAAAACAAGCTGCTGACAAGACACCCGTTTTTGTTTACGAATTCCTAGTCTTAATAAGGTGGGACAAACTGTCATATATTTGTCAGCTGAAGGAGATTGAAACTTAATCGAAAGAATATTTGCAGAGGAAATTGTCATACACAAAAGATTCATAGTCGGCGTGGAAGTTCAACTGCACTATACAAGAAGATCGGGATGAAGGAGGCACCCCTCAAAAGTATGCATGGCTAACGGCGTCAAACAGTGTGTCGCAACCGTAGCATCAAGCTTTGTTCTAATCGGTAGAAGTCCAGTTCAGTGGGTCCTGAGGCGCAGTAAAATTTGCAAGATAATTTAATACCGCGTCATTCTCCCCTGACCCGCGAAAACGGCTCTCATCCTGTCTGGAAAGAAATAATACAGCACGGCCCCGAAGTGCCCAGCCCCGAAGCCCACTACCATTCACCTCCCATTGCTTTCCACAATTTTTAGGCAGTGGCGCGTTGGAGGGGACGCCGTGACATGGCTACCTTGATGCGCCTCCAAATGTTTTCGATGATATTCAGATCGGCTCCTTTTAGGGGCCGAGGCAGCTTCGTCAGGCAGCGCTCCTCGAGGAAATACGAGCGTGACAGCGCATTTTACATTCGGCACTTCCTTGAAATGCACTGAAATGCATATTAGCTGAAAACGTGAACATTGGGCTAGCAGACGGCCGGAAGAGCGCAGTGGTGCAGTGAGCGCATAGTGATAACTTATCTCGGCCTCAGGGCGCGCCGTGTTTAGGGAGCGATGCGACAGGCAGCGCAGGTAGTACCGTGCACAGGCCGGAGCGCTGTTTCAGCTCAAATTGTCCGCGATAGTACGTGTCCGGAGATCATAATAATTGGGATGCCATTTTACCTTTTATTATCCTTGTGTACAATAGTTCTGTACATTAAAAACACCACAGGTATATCCCCATTTAATCCTCTCCACGGTAACGACTCGTCCTGCAATATACATGGCGAGAAGTTTCGGTGTCGCCATCTAGCGAAAGCCCGGCACAATTTGAAGTGAGGACGCGGCCGTTGCTTCCCAGAGCTGAGTGGGCTTTCCCTGAGCCTCACTGTCTCGCAACTAACTTTTCATTTTGTGCTTTTTTCTTTAATCTCCTGACCCTGCTCTTGGCAACGGTCATCTGAGACCATAAGTAAACTTCCTCAGAATGCATTAATATGCGAAAGCAGTGTGCCAGAAATAATAAACACCAATATTACATAAACCTCAATTTTAAAAGATAATACATTTCATGTTCTTTTTTTTAAATTATTATTCTCTTCAAACTTTTACTGAGATGATGTGAAGACAGTGCTCTCCAGTGCTAATTTGCTTAGTCTTCTGACAACAAAGCGTGCTTGCTTGAAGGAATTTACGAGAAACATCAGGTCAGTATTTATACTCCTGTGTAGGGGCGAGGGTGCGTGGCCTACTCCGATGTGTTTACGCCCTTCGCTCGGCGCTGCCCAAGCTTCGACACTGCGCCTCTTTGTGCGGTGAAAGCTATCACCGCTATCTTTGCTCGCTCGGCGCTTGCGGAGCAAGGGAGCTCGCGCTAGTAGCAGCTAAAAAGCGCGCTGGCTGAGCGCGCGCTTTAGGTGCTATTAGAGGAGAGATTCCTTACGTCGCCCGCGCGGAGCGAGCAAGTATAGCGGTCCCAGGCAGCACCGAGTTCTGGGCCAAAACTTGGCTTGCGTCTGGCAGTTGAGGGCATTAAAAAGCCCGAAGAAGCCAAAGTAGTGCCAAACCTGACCTCCCTTGGCAACAGTCTGGGTATCTTGGCCCTAATTCGCCAAACAAGTGCCAAACTTAGGCTTCGCTCCCGGGTAGTTCGGTTATTATCTGGCATCTTCGGGCCTAAATCGCCTAACAAATGCCAAATTTAGGGTTACTGCCCGTTAGTTCGGCAGATCTTTGGCATTTTCGGGCCAAAATCGCCAAACTAATGCCAAAGTTAG